TTCCAGCACCAAATCCAACATTGAGCTTTGAGCCAGACCCTCCAACCTGAGACCTCCTTTGGCTCTGGAGCTGTTTTTCCACACCTGGAGCAGCCCAGCAGCACCGAGGTCAGCACACAGAAATTCTCTTCCAGACCCACCTTTTTTAGGTAATTCATTAATTCATGTTAATTTTTTAGCTAATTCATTAACAAGAATTAAAACCAAAAACTCAGGTTAAAACTCTAAATAATCAAAGTCCAGACTGGGCAATTTCTGTGGAGCTCACACCAACCTCTCTGCAGCCTCCGACCCTGGAAGAGTCAATTTTGAAAGGAAATTTCATCAAGGCACACCAAATTCTCACAAAAGTAATGATCAGTATTTTTATTCACACACACTTGCTTTGAAACTACAATACTTAACAAAAGCATTTCATGCAAACAAAGATTGAAGATCCTGTGAATTATGGAACAAACAAACAAACAAAAAGATGCTGTAATTTGTACATCAGTCTTGCCCGCTACACTTCCAATGGTTGGGTTTTTTAAAAAAAATCTTTTGAAAAATGAATGGCCTCTCCAAATTTTCTGGTAGCATTTTGCAGATAAACGATATGAAAACAAATGATGTTCTCCTCTATATAAATAAAACATTTGGGTCCTAAAAATAATATTAAAAATATTAATGAGTTCATTAATGTTTAAAAAAATTAAGTAGCATAAAGTCATTTGAGAAGTTTCAGGTGTTCTCTGTATTGTTGTGCAAAACCACAGAGTGTTGAGAAACGCACATTTTAGAAAGAGCAAACGAGCTTCATTTTGTTGAAATTTATTTATTTTTTTACATACGTTTTGATAACATGGGAGAGAACAAATGAAAGGTTTGGGGAACGAGCCATAGATTAAATTTTTATTACCCCTGCAAGAGCATTGTTTTTATACTGCAAGGCCAACAGTGGGTACAACACATAATATAACTGATATTTTCAGAGAATTGGGGCTGTTGGCCAAGCACTCGGGGAGCTCTGTGGTTCCCTGGGTGCCTTGGAAGCTGTAGTGGGGTTTTGGTTTGTTAATTTGAGGATTTTTAAGCCAGGAGTGTGTGAATCTCTGGAAGGAGCCCTTGGCAGTGTCATCCCAAGGGGGTTCAGAGAGAAGGGAAAGAAATTCAAACAGTTCTCAGCAAAATGTTTGTAAAGATCATGAACATCATTTTCCTTTCCATTAAAACGTTCCTGTCATTGTTAATTACAAAACTAATGAAACATCAGCTGCAGAGTGTCCAATGTAACCAGCGAGAAATGAGCCTCAATGGCAGCTGTGTCAATGTTGTTGCTACTCATCCTGCACTGTTTCAAATCATGTAACAGACTTAATTTATTTATTTAGGTCAACTGACATCAGTGGAATAAAAAAACAGCTTCTGGAGCAGTTTTCTTTTAAATCTGAACTACGGTGTCACAGACAAGGAAAAAAAAAATAAGCACAAAGACACATTTACAACACAGAAATACGTTAAAATATCAACAAAAAATATCAGCCTGTCATGGACAAAGCCAAAGAACAGAGCTCCTCCTTCAGCAGGAGTCAGTAAAAACAGTGCTAGAAAACAGCTGTGCTGACTTTATTTACCCAAAGGGAATCTCCCCCTCCCAGTATCAGTTCAGCTAAGACTTCCATCCATATGGAATTTTAAAATTGCACATAAAAATCTCAGTAGCTGGAAAAGAGGTAAGTGCAGCTGACCCACACAATCACAAGCATCACTCCCCATCACACCCTGACTCCAGGTACAAAAGCTGCGCTCCAGGTTCTGTAAGAAACGCCTCAGATCTGATTTTATTTCTCTTCAAATGGTTTCAGCAGAGTTACTAAAGTTCTATAAAAAAGTAGAAACAGCATGGTATAGCCAGCAGTACCATGTGAATCCCAGAGGCTGATTTAATAGTAAAAATGATAATAATACTTACACAACTCTTTTCAGGTTTAAAAGTGAATTAGAAACGTTGCCCAAGAAGTGCTCACCCCTCCCTGTGGGTCAGTGAGTGTTGTCACCCCATTCTGCAGGTGAGATAAGGGAGGCAGAGGTTGACAAGGGGCCTCTCCTCTCAAGGTTTCCTGGGACAGGAGGGCTCTGCATGGCCATTATTCATGGTAAGGCCATTTAATTCCCATTGTTACTGGCACAGTGAGGGAATCATGCATGTTGTGGAGTCAAATCTTACTTATTTCAACTCAGCTATTTCAGATCCTGTCTGTGAGAGAGAGGCTGAGGGAAAAAAAGTGCTTTTTAGCTTTTTAGCTTTTAGTCTACTTTTTGCTACTTGGCAGCTCAGTGCCCACCTAGGACACATCAAACACAGCCCACACATTTGCAAAGAGACAAAACCCCTATGTACAATAACTTATGCTAATGACAAAACTGAAAATCACATTAAATATTTCCAGAAGTTTTCCTGGCAGGTCCAAAAGCCTACTGTAAACTCGATATACTGTAGCTATGCTTTCTACTGGTATCAAAGCTTTATTATTGGATTATTATTATTACTATTATTATTATTATTAATTATTTCCAATGCTGTGGTTTGCACAATGAGGAGGATCTGCCCCCTCTGCTCACTGCATGTGTCTCCTATGGCATTTCACTGGGATTGCATCCAGAGGCACTGGCTCAGAAAACACTTTTCAACTGGTACCACTCCACCCTTGGATGTGTCATCTTTCCAGCCAGAAGACAAGTTCCTCTCTTGCTCGACCTTATTAATTTTATAGAAGCCCAGAATTACTGAATTGGATTCACCCCAAGAGGCAGGATGGATTTCAAAGGCCAGCAGCATTCAGACGTGATGAGGTTTTTTTTAACTAGCAGCTGATTTCCAGAAGAACTTTCTGCAGTTTGTAAAAGGAAATTCAATTGTATTTCTGGAAAGAATGAAAAATCAGAAAGCTAAATTGGATTTCTCCTCCAAACTGGATTAGCAAGGACTATTTATCATAGGAATGTGCTCTCTCCTTCTCACATATGTGCTAATCCTGCTCAGAGCACTGAACCTGGCTGGTGGGTGAAATGGTTGTCCTGGAATCCCACCATCCTCAAAAGTGTCACTCAAAGGTGCACAAAAACATCCAGATGCCTGAATAATGACAGAATTTGCTTAGGAGCCAGTCAAGTCCCATTTGATCCCTAAAAACCCCTTGGAAGTTTTACATGGCAAACCTGTGCCTCTCCCAGCAGGAATGGGGCTGGCCTGGGACCATCTGGGACTCAGCACAGGGATGGAAACAGCTCCCAAAACTTCCACCCAGCTTCAGGGCAGCACCATTTTCAATTACAGCTCCCAAAACTTCCACCCAGCTTCAGGGCAGCACAATTTTCAATTTGCCTTTTGGGAATCCTGGTGGCAACGTGGGTGTTGGGATTACACTTGCTACCAAACACAAGTGAAAGAAAGAGAAGCAGCTCTAATGCCTCTCCTTCTGTTGATACATGTTCTCTAGAAAGCCAAATCTTGTGAAAAATATGATATAAATAACATCTGTCTCTGAAAAGATATGAACGTTCTGGCTGGATTCTTCAGGTTTTTCTTTCCATGATGAGTTTCTGGATTCTGAGCAGCCAGGGGGAATTCTCGGGAAAGGTCAGAGCATGTGAGGGCATCAGGAGAGCAGAGAGGGGTAACACAGCAATCCCTGCTTTATCCAACCCTGCCTGGCTCCTGCAGCATCCGGGAGTTCACAGCACCTTCTCCTAGGTGCTTCAGGAACCTCCAGAACACAGCACGTCTGTCACAAGCCCGGGGACTCGAGGTAATGATGCTAAAGAGGAATTTCTGCTTCTACGCCAGAAAAACTGGGAGAAAAACACAAGGGCTGGAGAAACTGGGTGTGAGAATTAGGCAGAAAATGAGCAGCCCTGCCCCAGTGTCAGAGCAGCCCTGTGATGCTGAGTCCTGCTGTGAACAGCCCCGACTGTCACAGCTGTGCCAGCAATGGGACTTCCTTGGAAAATTCAGATTTCATCAGGAAAACAGAATTGTGGCAACATCTACCCAAGGTAGATGGGTAGATGACACTTCCTTGGAAAATTCAGATTTCAAGCAATGGGACTTGGACAATTCAGATTTCATCAGGAAAACACAACTGTGGCAACATCTGCCCAAGGGAGCTCCTGCCTGTTTTATGGCTTGGTTCAGTTCTGCCCCTGTTCTGCTTTGTTTACTCCCCAAACCTGTATGCTGGTATTTCTCCCTGCATTTTTGTTTTTCCAAAGTGTCTTTTTCACTTCACATTTTAAGAACAACCACAATGGCACCTCTTGGCAGACTGGCATAGCTCAGAGCCCCTTCTTTATTAAAATCTGAAACTCAGTAATCTGTTATCTTAATTCAACCTATTGTTTTCTACAGCATTTTACTAAACATTGCCAGGCTAATAATATTCAGGAAAAAAAAAATAAAACAAGAAAAGAAGTCATGAATGCTGCATTAGGCCACATGCTTCATGGTGAATACCATCATTTTTGAAGTACATAATACACAAAGGAGAAAATGAACTCCCAGTCTTGGATGACAACATATTTGACACAGAACAGTTTAAAAATTTTACTCCTAAAATGCCTGAAAAGTTTGGAGTCCTGTTTGTTCAGGCAATGATCTGAGCTCCTGTCAGTTGGCCAATGCCCCTGGTGAGCCACACCCGGAATGTCAGGCTTTGATCACTCCAGGACGCTCCTGGTGGCAGCTGGGGGTACAAAAGCACTGAGACAGGGCAACAACTGGACTTTGGGGTGTGGAAATTGCACATCCTGGCCCCAAAGAATTGCACATCCTCCCCCAGAGCCACATTCCCAAGGGCCCTGCAGGTGCAGAGGCTCCACACTGTCACTGTCACCCTTCACACCCAACCCCAGCTCCCCCAGGGCCAAGCCACCCCTCTGGCTCCCCCCGGGCAGGACTGCATCTTTCTGACAGAATCTTTGGCACAGGTTCCATGTTTTATTGTCATAAAAGGTGGTTAGAAAGTAGGTTCCCCTCCCACCCCACCCCATTACATAGTCTAGTATAAATTGAAGTATTTTATGGCAAATATCTTACTTTTTTGAATATGTTTACATGCTGGAAAAATTGTAATCAGTCTGCATGCAGCAACAGAGATATCATGCTTCTGGCGTCATCATGCACATCTGACAGACATAAAGTGCCTGTGGCTGCTAATGGGATCAAGGCAGGAGAGGAAAAAAAAGGGAAAATGCACCAACTACTATTTTACATGCTGTAACAAAACCAAAATATGCACAAAACATTATTTACTGATATTTGAGTTAATATCTTCTGGTAAGTAGTAAGACGAAATATCAAAATTTTTTATCTAAGTGATAGGAGAGGAGAAGATTGCATTAATTACAGTGTTCATCATTGCAAATAAAGTCTATTTCCTTCTCTGCAAGTAATAAGCAGATGTGAAATGAAAGCCTAATTGAACCTCGTATAAAACCTGCAGGTAGCAATTATTATTTAAAAGTATATCTACTTTAAAAAAAAGAGATTATACCCTAAGCCAGTAACAATATTCAAAACCTAAAGTAAAAATCAAAACAATAGCAAGAAAACATTTAGCTAAATCTAAATGGTGTCATTCAGAACAAGAACTTTCACAAATAAAGCACAAGTTGTTTTATAAAATTTTTATAATACTCTTTATGCTTGGTACGATTATGTCAATAATATAGATCTGCTTATTATTAACCCTTATTATTAAGAGTTATTACTAAACATGCAAAATTCATTGCATGAAGCATATGTAAAATGTATTAAATTCCATTCTATCAATAAAACCAGTTTTAGGTGCTGCTTTTTTCAGGCTCGATTATTCTACAGCTCAAAGTTTTCTGAATTAAAACCGATTATTTAAGACTAAATCTCACTTGAATTTCATGAGTTATTCTGAGAAGTTAGGAAGTCACTTGGGGCTGCATTTTTTGTTTATTTAGTATACATAAAGCTTTCTTTACTGTCCTACACTGCAGACTATAAATAAACACAAGTAAATAAGATATAAGGAATTACAGTTTTGTTTTACATTCCAGGTTAATAAATTTCATAGTAAAATATTGGTATTAGAACCAGTTAACAGTAAACTTGAGGAGTGGTGTAAATGAAACCAACTGAACAACAGACAATGGCACCCTGGATCACAGAATAATCTCATGGAGATTAAAAATTCACAAAAGTATTATTAAAATTATTACTATTATTATTATTAAAGACAAAATTTCACCCTTGAGTTTATCACATGCTACTCCTAGCACAAATCCTAGAGACGTGGCCACCACCCCAGTGCTTTTATTTGGGATTTTACAGGATCAGTTCACCAAACCTTGGGGTCTAATTTGATTTCATCCCCCCTCCCACCCATTCCCAAGTATTATTTTTTTGCTGCCATATTTTTCAAACCCTTTCAGTGCTGTTTTTGCAATGCCTCTCCCCTCCCAGTCTCTGGTGCTGCCCCTGAGGTCTCCGGGCAGGAGCTCCCACCTCCCAGCATCCACCCCCAAGCAATAAGTAAATAAATACTCGAGGTGGCTTCTCATTCAGAGCACGTGTCAGATGTTTTTCCAACACAAGGGAGTGGAAAAGGGAGCAAAAGGACGGCGGGAAGTTACAAAATAGAGAACGTACCAAAACATGGGTAAGTTTCAACAAGTCAGTGGCGACTTCTAGAAGAAAAAGTGGGTACCGTACACTAATTTACCTCCTGTTAAGACAACACTGCTGCTGCAAAGCCCAAATCCTGACTAAGTGGCCCTTCCCTCATCCTCCACCCTCTAACCCTACAATTTCCAGGCCCAAATGGAATCAACGAGGAGAAAGCCTAAAAATTGTAGGGTTACACCTGCTCCCCGCGGCGGGATTTGTTCTGCTGTTTCATGCTACATTTTCTACAGGGGGGTGCACAAACTGGGGGTTGACAAAAGAGAACCCTTCAAAATCTGTTTGGTCTATGTTGGCAATGACCAGCTGATCTGGAGGCGTCAACACCGGCTGTCCTCGCGTGAAGAACTTATCGAAGTTTTCGGCCCCTTTGCCGCACTGCAAGGAGAGAGAAAAGCAGAAAAAAAGGCTGAAAAAAACGAGCAATACAACAGTAAAGTTGTCAGGATACATGCAAGGCATGTTTCTTACGAGTAGTTGAGGGAAAATTTTCTTTTCAGGTATTTTGACAAAAAAAACCCCCAGACAAACAGTGAAGTTTTAATAGCTGAATGCTGATAAAAAGCAGTCAGAAAGGTTTTCATCCATCAGCATGAGGTGACGAGATAAAGAGGCTTTTAAATATTCAGCATTACTGGGATACAAAAGGAGAAAGGAAATATTTTGATAAACATATGTTGGCAAGAGATACTTTCTTTGTCAAGTTGTTTCATTCTTTTTAAAAGCCTTATCGTGCAAAATTAAATTTTCCCTGTTAGTCTCTATTTCCTTTGTGATCTGCAAAAAGCTTAATGCAATTCATTTATGTGCTTTGAGTCTTCACTGAACAGGCTCTGAACTCCTGAATTCCTCTAAATTCATAAATTTATTTTTATTTATAAATTTATAAATTCATAGATTCCTATACATTCACTGAACTCCTATAAATTCATAAATTACAGCAGGGTCTCGGTCCTGGGCAGGGCAGGAGCACATCCTGGACAGGTCCTTGTTTCCAAAACTTGCTATCACAGGTTTTCTCTTTAATTTTCTTAAGAGACTCATTTTGGGGCCAAGTCCAGCCAAGTAGGGGGTCAAATGCAGCTACAGCCTGAGCACAACTCCTTCAGAACAAAAGAAACCAGGTTTGTAGAAAGAAGAGTTTAGAGGAATGCAGAAAAGACTTGATAAGCAGGGGAGTATGATCAGAAGCATGCTAAAAAATAGAAAGGTGGTGCCAGAATGAAATTAGCTTGTGTGCAAGAAAGAAAGGAATATTTGAGGAAAATGAGGCATTGAATATTGTGGAGAGGTGAGGAGGAAACAGGTAAATTGCTCATCTCAAAACTACTGTAACAGATCTTGGGACAAAGCAGGTGTGGGATAAAGGCAGTGAATGTTTCTTCCCATTGCTCCTCATCCTTTCCTCTCTATCCATCCCTTCAACATCCCTGCATGTGAATTAATTTAGAGGCACAACAGCCAGCTCAGAGCAGCCACAAAAGGAGATTTTTTAATTGCTAAAAAGGAAATTTTTGCTAACAAAGATGTTCTACAGGTGAGCATCATCCTACAATAAAAATTATGCTACTTTCTTTATTTTTAAAATTTTTTCCTCTTCTTTTTTTTCAGCAAATGCGAAGTATTCAAACAAGCTGGACATTGAACCCAAAGTTCCTGAGACCATTAGTTCTATCACATTGCTTAGGCTAAATATATATATTTATATTATTTTTATATATATATATTTAGCCTCTCTCTCTATATATATATATTTAAAAAATAAATATATTATATATAAATATAATATACCCATGAAATATGGGTATATTTTGGGTGCAAACAGAGTAACTTATAAATAAATTTGTATCTTCAATGATGTATTTGTCTTCACAATAAAGAGCAGCACTAAACCTTACAGCATTATTAGAGTACAACTGAAATTACAGGACTTCTCAAACACCTAAACTTGGAAATAGGAGTAAAATGTCCTTGCCAAATAATCAGTCTATGCCTACAACCTGTGAAATGTCAATCTGGAAGGGAACATGTTATTTACAGCACCCAACTGCTGACCCAAAATCTGCAGCTCTGTCTTTGAGTGAGGACAGTGGAAGCAGCAGGATTATTCCTGCAGGAAAGCACTTCCTAGAGAAGATGCACCTACAAAGATTTCCCAAAAAATATCACCCCAAACAAAGCCTGTAAATACATCCATATCTTCAAACAGATTAAGGGTTGTGGTTTTTTTGCTTTCTAAAATCAATATCCATCCCTGGAGGGATTTAAAACTTGTGCAGTTGTGTTTAGGGTCTGGATTAGTGGTGGGCTTGGCAGTTCTGGGATAATGGCTGGGATCTGATGAATTTAAAGGTCTTTTCCAACCCAAATGATTCTATAACTGTATGATACTGATACAAATAGAATTAGCAATCACCAGAAATGAGTTGTGCATAGGGTATGCAAATACTGGACTTGGATTTTAAGTTATTTTTGTCCAGGAGAGTCGGGTTCGGTGTGAATCCGCCTCGGTGTGTTTTAATAGCAGCCTGTGCAAACAAACCAGGTCATGATAACCAGGGAGACAGAGCAGGGCTGCTCTGAGGAGGAGCCAGGACCTGCCAGGAGGCTCTGATGGAACCAAACCACACTTGAAGCTTTTAGCACCTTCAAGCTGGTGTTACTTTTAACTTCAAGGAGAGTCTAAGCACTCCTGAGCTAATAAAAATTACACATGTGAAGGTAGGTCTGCTTTATGATCAGCTTTAAATTTGACTTGAGAAGCATGTAATAAAAATCTCAAACAAAATAAGCTCTAAGAGCTCCCCTTTGCATAGCCAGCTCTGGGGAAGGGTTGGCTGGCAGCACCACACAAGTTCTTCACTTATTTACACCCTTCCCTATCTGCAAAATCCACACCATGGCAAAAAGGTATTTCCTTTAGCAATAAATACCCTTCTCAGCTTCAACTCTCCTCCTCTTCATGCAAAAAAGTCATTTGTATGAAAAAAGTGAAGAATAATTCAGGTATTGGCATCCCTCTGTTCATGAGTTTGTGACAGACACTGGTGTGCCTGTATTGGCAAATAAATCACTGTAAAGCAGTCATGCTACACCTGAAGTGCTAAAGCCAGCCAGGATTCTCAGCTGAAAAATGAAAGGGTTAGAGAAGAAAGGTTCAATGTTAGGACATAACAATTTATAACTGTTCCTTAAAGCTTGTGTTCTTGTGTGAACACTCTTCTCTTTGCCTGTCAATGAAGCACAGTACATGCTGAAAGAAATTCTGGCTCAACAAGCAAAGCTCTTCCAGTTCTATTATGCAAACAGCTCTCAGGGTAAGGACATCTTTCCACTTGCTTGGATTTCTAAAATGTAGATACACATGTGCAATCCAGTAATGAACATGGAAAATAAACCAGGGATTAATCTTGTAAACTGAGCAGACATTGCTGTGGGATGGGGAATAAAACCCCCTGTGCTGGGCAGACATCCATGGAGAAATTCACCCCTCTAATCCAAATCCCTCAGTCAGATCCTGACTTTAGATGCTGCTCAGAGGAGACAGCTGTTAACCTCATTTATGACCAGTCTCAAGTGGCTGATGTGGATGTGCCAATTTTCCCTGTGTTCAGCTCCTCACGCCGTGTGTGACCATCCAGGCAGGGCTCAAACCACTCTGAGGCTTTTCTGCAAGGCACAAAGTTCCCCAGGTTCCACCCAAGCACAGCCAGGCTCACAGACAGCTCTGCCCTCACCAAATGGCCTCGTTTCAGCCATGCCCCAGATCTGCAGCTGCAATCCCACCCACGGGGAACAGGGCTGCAGCCACAGCCAGGGAGGGAAATGAGGCCTCAGGTTTGAGCTTTTCTATGTTTCAGGTTCTGTGCTGCTTCAGTGTGTGGGGCTGGGCTCACACCAGGGGATGCTGAGCTCTGTGCACAGAGCAGGGAGACAAAACAATTCCTGCTCCAGCTGGGCACCAAGGACAAATGATCCAAATCTCAGCCCAGGAGCACAAACACCGTGGGCTGGAGAGAGAAAAACAAGCAGGGTGGGACTGGATGGGCTAAAGCTGGAATGGGACAATGAACTGCAAGGTGCAAATGGACCAAAATATTAAAATGTGAGATCTCATGACCAAGCTCTCTTTTGCTTCCATCTTGGAGCCATCCAGGCAGAGCCATGACTGTGGCTCTGGTACTGCCAGGGGGTGGCCTTTGAAGGCTCTTCAATAAATAACCACTTTATTCCCCTAAACTCCATCAAGCCTCTGTTCCAGCTCCTCAAGGCATCAGTTTTGGTGACCCAGGTGGGCCAGTGAGGCATCTGAACCTCTGGCATCTCACTCACCACTTTAGGTTTGAAAGGTGGCTGAATCTCCCTGTTCTCCAATTTCTCCCAGTCAATTCTCCTGAAGAAAGCATGTTCCCTGATGTCTCTTTCACCTTCCAGGCCACAGCCAAGGCGTTTTGCAGGATGTTTAGTCATCAGCTGTTGGGAAGAAAACACCAAACTATTCAGTTTAATGCTGGAAGGAAAGTGAGAGGGGCTTTCCCCTGCCTGCAATGCTCTTGCTCCTCTCCTGAAGATACACACTGCTAATAAAATTGTTTTGAAAAGATAAAATGAATTTTTTGAAGAATTATCTTGCTTCATCACTGGAGACAGCAAATCAGCAGCAAAATTAGGGGCTGCACTGGGGAAGTTTTTCCCACTGGGCAGAGGTTGCTGCTGGAGGTGCAGGTGGTGCCCAGGACACGCTGCCATCCCTGCTGCCTCACAACTCACTCCTGAATTTCACCTCCAGTCTCTCAGCTCAGTCTTACAGACCTCCAGAACAGCTCCAGCTCTATCTCAACAATCAATTAGCCATCATAAATTCCAATGCACTAAAGCTCCATGAAGTACAAACCCCCCCCCCCCCCCCCCCACTCCCATTTCATTTTTCTGGGCTTGTTCAAGACATCTCATTACAGAGCCTCCAATTCTTTGGCACCCAGCTGACAACATCTAATCTGTGTTTCCTCCCTTGCATTCTTAATGACATCCTGGTCAATACCATACCCAGTTACAGAGATTAAACAGACTTGGGGAAACAAACCAGCCCCAAATCCACCAGCCTGGCGTGCTTAGAAATTAGAATGTGCTCCCTAATTAACAAGTTCCTCAGCATTTTCCAATTGTGTACATTGGGAATTGTGCAATGTAGCCTTAAACTCTCACTTCAAGTTTCGTGGGGACTTTTGAAGGCTCTTTTACAAATTAGATATGATTAATGTACTGCTGGGAGTGATACCTCAACAGATCTTCTGAAAACCTCAGTACCACTTTAGTCTCCTTCCAAATGTTGAGTTGATCTGATTCCAATTTTGAACCTAAAATAAAAGTGACTCTAAGCAGGTTTGGGAAGCAGCTGTGCACTGGGCAGGAATCACAGCCTTCTTCAAGATTAACAGCAACATTCCCATTTCTGTTACCTTTTCCAAACCCCTTGCTTTAACAGCAGGTGATAAAAGAAAATGAGAGTATTGATTCTAGTAGTTTTAATTCTTTCCAAAGTTGCTGCATTTACCAAAACCAACAAACTCTCAATCACTGGAATGGAAGTCAAGCAGACAAATCAATTCCAAGAGCAGAGTGGGCACGTTTGTCTTGCCCAGTGGTGCCCAGTCCTGGGATTGCTGAGCCACCACTGACTGCAAGGGTCAGAAACTTTCTCACATTGACTTCTTAGCTCAGGAAAAAACTCCCACTGAAACCTGAGATCAATTTGTCAGTTTGGCAGATGAAGAACATGTCAGTACCACAGAGACTTGCTCAAAATCTCAAGGTGCAGGGTAATTTTAGCTTTCTGCCCTCCCCTGACATGAGCACACAGAAGCAGCAAACAGGGGAGCTGAAAACAGGGCAATTTCATCAGGTTCAGGCTGTGCTGTTTGAATTGTGATTGTCACGACAAGGCAGCAATCTGAATGTACTTTACAAAAATACATCATGTTTATTTTTTGTTGGCCAGCACATCTACACTGGGATAAGCTCCAAAATTAGCACGGTCTTTCATTTTACCTTCTTGTTCCAAACACCTTTTCCTTGATGATTTCTTTAATGGACTAATATCCTGCCCATGTATAATACTTCATAAATGGTTGAAAAGGATAGGAAGAATGTAAATACCAAATTAACTAAGTGCAGTGGTGTTTTATCAGTGTAAGTCAGACATCAAATAACCCATTACAGGCGGTGGATTGGAAAAGCTGCAGACTGATGGTGCTCTGGAGAATCACATGGAATCAAAGGGAAGTCAAATGAATTCTTTTTTCCTAAGCTAATCCCCTGAAGCCAAATCTATTCTTTTCCTCAAAAGTAAAAAAAAAAAAAAATTAATTTCTTATCTAAGACCAATTTTAGGCCACACAGGCACCACTGGGTCAGAATTTCCCTATGGTTTCATTGCATTTATGCTGAAGATTTTCACAGTAGCTCATGTTCACCTACATTTAAAGATGATTCTCCTCAACTCCTGAGCTCTGATCGTGTCATTAGGCATTCTGGGCTGAGGACTGGCTGGAGCATCTCAGCCAAGCTGAGAAATCTCACCCTGCAGAACTGGGGCTGTGCTGCCGCGGGTCGAGAGGCAAAGCAGGGGGAGACTCTTCACACCATGGTCCTGTTTATAAATTCTGCTCTGCATTTGGCAGCCACTGATTCTGACATTTGTTCTTTCCATAAAACAAACAGGCACAGTGGGAAGAGCCCAGCACTTATCAGTGACACCAACTGACAACACAGCTCAGCACTGCCTGGCAGAAGTTGCACTTTAAAATACTACAGTGCTGTGTCAGAGCCAGGCAAACCCAGTGACTCACAAGGACTGCCAAAAGGAACTGAATGATAAATAACATTTTAACTCACCCCCTTGCAGATGGAGACTGCTTCTTTGGACAGTGATTTTGGGTAGGAAACATTATGCTCCATTATGGACTGGAATAGTTCATCTTCATCTTCCCCATCAAATGGAGGCTGTTGAAAATAAATCACAAGTGAGTTACTCACTGAGTTTTCCTTTTTGTGCTTTTAAGTTCTCCACTTTTTATGAAATGGCATGACAACACCATGCCCAAAACCATCCATATACAGCAGTGCTCCTGGTCCAGGAACATCCCCCAAACCCACAGCAATCTGCGGCCTGGATATCTGCTGACCCAGAAACTTAGTGTTTGACAGTCTCAGATTAAAATCAAGGAGAGATGTTCATTTCTGTCCCCAGAATGGCAGCCAGGTTAATGAAATGTGTGCAGGATTATCTTTGTGATCAGCTTTAATCAGTTTTTAAAGCTGCTGTGCACCAGACAGGCAAAATACTTCAAAGGGTGAAGTTTGGAGAATAACTTTCAATTACCTTGTGCTAAGGTATGTCTATTCCTCTCTTAATTCCAGTTGGACTCCAGTTTGTTTTATGTTCTGGCTGTGGATTCTGCTAAAGGGCTGCACTATATTTTAAAATACAGGGGTGGGAAAGTGGCCATGGATAAATCCCCAGGATATGGGCCCTGTGCAAGCCCAGCTAATGGTAAATCTCCTTTCCCACAAAGCATTCGATGGCCAATATTTGCAATTCAGCCTGCAAATGTTAACAGCTGCAGTTGCTACACACTAAAACTTTTAAATGTCCACTGGAATTTTGCAGAGAAACTCTTAAAGGCATTTGTTATGTTTTAAGCTTGGGAAATGCCTGCCTTTACCTAGCACTCCCTGAAAGCCAATTGCAGGAATCTTTTTCAACTCAAGACTAAGAGAACTCCTTCAGGCCGGTGCTTTTCTGCCATTTCTTGCAGCACAGTGCTGCTTCCCCACCCCAGTGACTCAGAGCAGCCTCTCATTAACTGTGCAGAACAAGGGGCCTGTAACTGAGCACATTTCCAAGTGCTCAGACCCATATTTTACCCCCAGGACACACAGTACAAAAACTGTATTCTTGGGACTTAACTGCAATGCAGAGCTTATATACACTCTTATTATGCTTCCCTGTGGTTTCAAACTCCTAAATGGTATTTCTTCCACTTGACATGCATTTTCCTGCTCAAGTGTCTCCCTTTCAATCCTGAAGATGGCTATTTATAACATTATTGCAGTACAAAGGAGCTGTATTTAAAGGCAGAGCTTGATTATGTGGGTGCAACATAAAGAGCTTAAAGCCTAAATACATTCTCAGTTGAGTCAGTCAAGAGTACAAGGAGATAACAGCAGAATGAAAGGCTTCAATCCCATCCTGTAATGGTCTAAACCTTTAGGGAGCCTTGAAACAGAGCAGCCTTGGAGGGCAGGAGGAGGTCACAGAGCACAGAGGGGGAATCTTACCTGGCCAGCCAACATCTCATAGAGCAGCACACCATATGCCCACCAATCCACAGACTTCCCATAGGGCTGGTAAGCAATAATCTGCATAATCACAAAAAAAAAAAAGCAGAGGAAAAACCCCTGTGTTAACTCACCCCAGCATTAGGTACATGTGTGACATGCAGAGAAGGACAGATTTCCTTGAAAAAGGCCAGAAAGACAATCCTGTATTCCTCACTCCTGCTCGTCACAGGTTTCAGTGGGAGTTGGATTCTTTTGCAAGTGTTAGGCTAAACCCACCCACACCCTTGGGTACCCTGATATCTTGGAAAATATATCCTGGAAAATACAGCTCAGAGACTTCCTGGGATGTGCATTTGAGGCCAAAGGAGGAAGCAGGACAGCACAATGCAGGAGACAAGGCAAAACCATTATCCCAACTGTTTGTGACAAAGTCTGAAATCATGAGGCTCACTTAACTTATGGACTATCAATAATTAAACCTTTCTTTTCAATATTTATATTTTTATTCTGCTGGAAAAGGAATCAAAACTTAGGAAAAGAGCAAAACTTGAAAAACCTCAGTTAAGTTTCCCCAAGCTGCATGACTGTGATACTCAGGACAAAACACCACCTACACCAAAAAGAAAGGGGGTTCTGCTGTTCAGACTAATGGAAATGTCAAGTATTTTCCACGCTCTGGGTTCACATGTGACTCACAGAGCAGTACAAATGGAGTTGTGACACAAGGAAAGGCTGCAGGTGCCAGCAGCACCCAGGTCACCCCCTGCATCATCCTCTTTAACCAGGGCCTCCTCAGAGATCAGAGGCCATTGATTGAAGAGCTGCATTTGGTGATGGTGTGGACGAGTTTGGAGGTGCAGGTGCTCCTCAGATCTTTCTACACAACTGTGAAGGGATGCTGTGAATTGGGAAGGGATGGAGGACAGCCCAGTCCCTGCCCATCCCCACTGAAGCAGCATCAGAGCCTTTGATTCCAGCATCCCTTCTGCTCTGGAATGAGCAGGGAGCTGAGGCAGTCACAGCTCCAGAGGGGTTTGCATTTCATTCTCCTGTTTGCTCCTGTTTTTATTCTTTGTGAAATAAATTGCCCAGTCAAGTACACATCACACATCCTAAATTTTTTAGTAGTCTGAAAGAGAAGCTGAACTGCCAAGTTCTGTAGTTGCTCAGGAAAATTGTGAGTCACCAGTGCAATAAAGCAGGACTGCCTGGCTACTAAAGAAAATTATGGTCTCTGTGTGGATATATGTCCTTGCCTGAGATACAGCAGCACATAATTTAGAAATTACTGCAATGTTTCTAACCCAAGGATTTCAAAATCAATTGTGCTTTGGAATGTATTAGACAAGCAGAGATAATAACAAGATTCTCATCTGGAAGACCCTGCATAAAGGCAGTCCATATTAGTTGTCTCTTAGCAGTAATATGGGCTTAAAAAATATATTTGGGACATTCATTTCATCTTATAGTGACATACTTGGTTACTCTCCCTTCATTTCCATCACCAGTAAGTTCCTGCCTTTTGATTTATTAAATCAATATTGCCTTTTGAAACACAAAACACTTTCAAAGTTTCATCCAGGAAAAATACTGGCCTTTGCACACAGAAAATGACAAAACATTTCATCCTCAGTCCTTCTCTGACAATGTCTTCCTGCCTTATGGAACAGAATATTTTATATAAAAAGGGGATGTTTTTCAGGTCATTGTTTTGCAAGGGCAGAACATTTTGTACAACAAGTGCAGTCCAGGTATGTGGTTTTGGGAGGAACAGCTTCTTCCAATTAGCAAATGAGCAAAAATGGATCCACAGCAGCGAGAAACAGAATGCTGCCACCCTGCCAAGGTTCTGTACCTGGCAGCCAGGTCTGTCCAGGAGCCCACAGCTCACTTCTGTCCCTGCTGTGAAGGAGTTTGATGGGATTGCTGAGAGGAGGAAATGACTTAAATGCTGCAATGCAATGTCCTACAGTGAAAACTGTACCAAAGCACCCAACAATGCTAATTTTTATCCAGCAAGGGGTCAGTGAAGGCTGGGCTCTTCTCTAAACATTCCCGTCAGGAACTGCAACCTCTCCTATGAAATCTGCCTTTGGGAGAGAATATCAATCACAATCAGGAGAGGCAGAATTAACATGGAAAAATCTCCAATGGATGGTCAGAATCACTCCAGTTTTTCTGATGTTTGGTGAGCAGAGCAGTGCCCCTCTGAGCTGGCACACAGCTCCCAGGCCTGGATGGAAGAGTGGGAACTGAGACACAAATACAAATGCAGCCACCAGGGCTGCAAGAGTCCCAGTGCAAAGGCAATGGCAACACCTTTTCCATTGAATTACCTCCATGCAGGAAAGGTGCTGCTGTACTGTCTGCTGCTGCACATGGGGAGTTTTCTCCCTTTAACCCCATCCAAATATCCCCAGTTTGAATCAGCAGCTGAGTCCTGGGGAGGCTGTGGCTCAGGGAAAGCCAGACCAGCCCTTTGCCATGTCCTGTGTGGAACCCACGGATGAACTCCTTGGACTGGGAGCTGCTCCCAGCACCAACTGGGAAGTGCAAGCCAGAGGGAAGAATGCTCACTTCAAGGGAGGAATTCCATGTGGGAGGAAGCAGATGAGCCTTCAATGTACAGTAAAGCATGCATTGGTACGAAGTCAGCAAGTTCTGAACGTTTTCAGCAGCTCCCTCCTCATCACCCAGAATTCATCGAGTGCCCCCTCCCAGCCCTGCACTCAGAGCCAGCCCTGCCTGCCTTGCAGCCGCTGCCAAAGTCATTCTGTCCTACGTGCAAGGACAAACTCTGGTGTCTCTTAGAGCAGTTCTAAAGTCATTCTGTCCTACGTGCAAGGAGAAATTCTGGTGTCTCTTAGAGCAGGTGGGGTGTGTGAGCCTGTCCTGTCTCACCACAGTGTCCAGAACAGACCCAGAGCAGTGAGGGAGCTCCTGTCCCTAGACATGAAGAACTGCACCCTCCTCCACCTATGATTTCTGACTTTCACTGGCCAGGCAGAAGTGGAAAGTTGATGGGATCATTCTCTTCCTCTCCTTCTCCATCATTAATTTAAATTATTGCCTTTTTCATGTCCTTTTGCATTTCAAATGTCTCATTTTACCCATCTATTGCCATGCATTAAGAGCTTCTGCCTTTCCAGATTCTGTGCATTTGAGCACTCAGAAAGAGCTCAGGAATTTCTCTCATCAAGCAAAATTGGCAGATGGAGTTGCTTTTTTTTCTTTTTTTCTCTATTTTGCCTCCAAGGAAGGCATATTAAGAGCAGGACACAGAGATTAATATCAGCAATTTGTAGGAATGTTTAGATCATTGCAGCTAGTAGCCAGTTGGGATGAAAAGATTATATCCCAGAGGCAAGAGGAAATCTTTTGTGAGCATATATGATGTCTGCTGGAAAAGTTAAAACTCAGTTATTAAAAGAAATAAATATTACTATCACAAGAAACAGTCAAATGCACTTTCCAAACCTTTGTAATACCTATTTGCCTCCCACAATCCTGGCAAATTCAAGGCTGGAAGTGAAGGTTCTGAGGCTGTGAGATGGAAGAGAAGGGAAATGGAGTTTCTAATTTGAATTCCTCTGAAATTCAGAATCAGCACTGAGGCTGCTGCAGGGATGCTGATGGTGGGGTTCTGTGCTGGCAGAATCCCTTCCCCCTAATCCTCCTGACATCCATCTCCTCCTGTCTCTCTTGACTGGTCAAGGAAACACAAAGTACTAATTGATTTCACAGCTATTTCACCACTCTGACCATAAATATTTAAGTTCAGCACATCAGGAAATACTCTGCACAAGATAACCACTTTCTGCCTGAGAGAAGCTGTCAGACCTGGGATCCCACCAGCTTAACCTCTGCACGCTCCTCAAATTGCACAGCACAAGAAAATTAACAATAATTCCAGCCCATTATACACCCAGGTAACAGCAAGTGGCAACTTTCCCACTCAGAGGAAAGGCAAAACATTATTTTGCAGCACACCAAATTGGAGGGCTCACTTTGCTGAAGGCAGCACTGCATTCCCCTGCAGAGCTGGGACAGGGGACACCAGCTGAGCTGGCCCTGCAGGGTCCTGGCAGCTGTGTGCTCTCTGATCCCTCTGTGGGCAGGTCCTGCAGGGGCAGCGTGGGCTCCCTCAGGCCCCAAAGGAGTCACCACATTCCTCCCCAAATGCTGCTGAAAAGAGCTCATTCTCCAGGCTGGAGTGCAGCCCACTCACAGGATTCTACTCCAGATACCTTCAAGAGTTTATTTAGATTTAGCTCCTTTATCTCCACCCAGCAGGGAATGTGACAGTGTAAATGAATTCTCATTAAAATCTATTAGAAATTTCTAAATTTTAGCCCATGGAAACATGGGGTGAAACACCCCTGCAAGGGAAACAGGAATCTTCCTTTGAAGTTCATAACAGAACTAGTTAGCAAACTGTCAGTCACAATAATGTCCTCAGAGACAAAAAAAAATCAGCCAATTAAACAAAATAAAAGCGAATCTGTTTTTAAGATAACAGACCAATTTCCTCTCACTTACTGGATGTTTTGGTAAAAGGTTTATTTCCTTATATGAAATTTCCAAATAAAGTAAAATAATTTGCTCCAGCATTGAGCCACACAGCATTCTGGTATTGACAAAATGTTCTTTGGCATTAACTGGCACAAGACAATTGCCACAGAAAGGACACTTTAATTTGTAATATTGGCTTCATTTATGTTTTGACAGAAGAAAATGAAATACTACTCTGGTTGTTCTGATATCCTGCTGCAAGCAACAGCAAATGGGAAAAAAACAAGGGTGGAGAATACACAATATTTGACTCTGAAAAGCATGAATTAGCAAGTGGGAAAAAAACAAACTATTTTTCATTCCAATTTCAGAGATGACAAAATTCACCTCAGACACTAATTTACTTGTCTGTGTATAAATCTCTCCAATTCCAACAAACATTCAATTACAGCCAGAAATGCTCCAGCCAGAGCTGCCTCTTGCTCAGTACCCAGTGAACAACTGAGTCTCTTGGACCAGGATCCAGCCTCTTGCATCGAATCTGCTGCCAAACAAATCAAGACTCCTGAAAGCTCAGTATGCACAAAGACCAGATTTTAATATTCATATATTTGAATTATATCCAAATCACCACATGTGCTTGTTTTCAATTCTTTAAACCTCAACTACTGAAATACAAATCACATCCAGACTTAACTCTAAGCTCATATTTATGCCAGTGCCTTAAAGCACAACTGGGTTTCTCATGATCATATTTTCATCTCAGACCCAATGCAGTTGGTTCAGGCCTCAATGTCATTTTCAGTGGCTTGAAAGCTGCACAGGTATGGCCAAGTCATGGAAAACACAAGGCAAATTATGGATTTATTACAACAACTCCACTCAAGGCTGGGTGTCTCAGCTTTTGGAAGAGGATTTCAATGACAGGGGCTCTCCTGAGGTGAGGAGCAGCAACTTGTGCAGGACATGGCCTGGAGGAGACCACAGTGCTTCTACAGAGAGGTCAGCAAAAAGCTTCAAGACCTCCTGAATCCCTTCCCAAAACTCAGTGAGTGGTTTGTGATTTCCTGAAAATGCCAAATAATCCTTTAAATAAATGTGTGCTGACAGCTGGGTGAAGCTATGGAGGAGGGGATTAAAGCTGCATTGTTTTCTCCCAGTGAAATATTTACTGATCTCAGCAACACCCATGTTTGTGTAACTTTGCAAATTGCAAAGTTTAGTGTAACAGCATTTCCAGGCTACAAATTTAAGATCAGAGATTGTGATCTTATGATCCCAAGACTGTGATCTTAAATGGTAAGATTGTGAGCCTGGCTTTTTTTAAAGTTTTTTGGTAGAATGAGCAAAATCTTATCTCATAAAAAGTTAGTTTTTCAGTTAACTAGGTTTTCCTTAAAATAATGACTACTCCTATTGATTACATTGCATTAATTCACAAATATACCCAATATACCTGCAGAAATTACATGGTGCCATCCATGGAGAATCTGGAGTTGGAGCCATCCAAACCCAGTGGTATAAAATGTGGAGACACAATTTCCTTTAAGGGAATAAAAGGCTCTTGAAAGGGTCAGTGTTTACCTCTGGTGCAATGTAGTCTGGAGTGCCACAGAAGGTCCTGGTTGTTACTCCATCCAACATGTGCTCCTTGCACATTCCAAAATCAGCAATCTTAATGTGTCCTTCTGAATCCAACATCACATTATCTAATTTCAGATCTCTGAGGAGAATCAGAGTAATTGAAGGTGAATGTTTGGGATCAGCTGGGGTGAGCTTATTCTGGGTAAGGAATATTTGCAGCTCTTTGGGGGTGGAGGTTCGGGGAGCACACGTGGGGCTGGCTCAGCCTGGAGGGAGCTGGGCAGACATCTAAGAATGACCTTAAAATCCTGGAATGGGTTCAAGGGACCTTAAAGCCCATCCAGTGCCACCCCTGCCATGGCAGGGACACTTCCACTGTCCCAGGCTGCTCCAAGCCCTGTCCAACCTGGCCTGGGACATTCCAGGGATCCAGGGGCAACCAAAGCTGCTCTGGGCTGGACAAGGAATGAAGAGGTGGCTGTGTCTGACCCCTCACCTGAGACTTTTGGATGTGTAATATTATTAAACATCACACAGAAATACAAAATATGGAGTTTTCCATTTTCAAGAGGTTTTATTTGAGTGGGGCAGGGCACAGGTGTCAGAAAGGTCAGGTTAAACAGGGCTTGGGTTTCCACCTCACCAGCAGCAACACAACAAAAAAAGCTCTACACTGATGGCTTTCTGTTTTGAAAATACACTGAAATGTTAAAGAAGCTGATCATTTGGGGATTTTAAAAATAGTTCAGAAATTACTTATGTCAGATCATACTCACCTATAAATAATCCCTCTGTTATGGAGAAAGAATAACCCAATAGAGATCTCAGCTGCATAGAACCTGTGTGGGGGGAGAAAAAAATCAACAGATTTCTTATTGCCTCCTGACTTTCTTCTGGCAAAATGAATTGCAAATGAATCATGGTAAAGGATGACAATATAGTAGCATATGAACCATGTGATTATATTGTATGTATACAGGTGACATGAAAGACAAATCACTTCAGCTGGACCTTAACAGATACATTTTAAGTATTTGATGATAAAATAATGCAGAATCTAAAAAAAAAAGGAAAATTGCTCTCTGGACCACAAAAAACAGTTCAGCTGGAGCACAGCTTTTTTTGCACTAACTCTGCTGCAAAGGTCCTTATCTCTAATCACAGATTGATGAATTCAGGATGCAGCTCAATGTACATTGCAATTCACATGGCATGAAATAATTTGCAGAAATAGTGTTCCTTTATCCAGCCTGTTAATGGATTAATTACAAGAAGCTAATTAAAATGATCACCATATAAAATATAATTGCTGAATGCAGTTAAGAGGTATGGAATACTGGTGGCTGTTTGAAGCTGGTTGCCGTGGAACTGTGCAAATTACGAGTGAGAGGATTATTTAAAAATGAGATAAATTTTTAGGCTCAGCACAAGGGAGAGGAAGCAACTGAGCTCTGCAACACTCCATCAGAGGTGTTTGTGAACATGTGTGAAGATGCAGCACAGGCAAAAGCTGTCATGAAGCACCACAGATTTTGCCAAGTGTTGGCAAGTTGCATTAGCTGGAGTCAAGGATGATCTGACACCATCTCAGTTTGATTCCATGAGCTGTTAAAATGTTTGTCTGCATCTGAAACACTTCTATTTAGAAGGGCTCTCGTTTAAACAAGCCCTGATTGCTTAAATTAGAATGAGAAATTATTTTAACAGAATGCTTAAAGCAGTTGGTCACCCTTGATTTTGAGGTTTCATTAGTAGATGATTTATGAAACACTAACAAGTGGTGATGAGGTATTATAAGAGTGGCTAAAATGGTACTGATGGATCTATTCACTCTTAAATATGCTAGAGATCATTTTCAGTTGCTCACTGATGTGCCAGATGTACAATTACCTGAAAAGAATCATGTAGATAAACAACTCCTAATTCCTTATTAATTCCTCACAAATATATCACAGAAATTCTTACAAGCTATACATTGAATTTATCTTGTACAAACTGTAATTTATATTACAGAGCTGAGTCTATTTGTACTGCCTTTCTCTATAGCACTAATTCAGACTGAAGTGCTCTTCTCACTGTTTTTTTAAAATCTGCTTTTAAAAACAACATCAGAATATGATGTAACATCTTTAATTTCCTGCTGCCCTGCTTAAATTCTTGTCACTTTTCAATAAGCCTCTCCTGCCTTTGTTTGTGCTGTGTTTTTGAATAAATACACAGTTACCTTTGGTCTGTGTGTTCAGACACCATTTTTAACACAAAGTTCAGATTTCAGATTTTTTTAAATATATGAACACTCACACTGCTTGTGGCTCCTTAAATTTTCCCACTTGCTGGATGTGATACATGAGATCCCCACCATTGACATACTCCATCACAAAATACAGCCGGTCCTAGGACAAAGTATTAAAGAGGCACAGAAATACATTACAGACAGGATTAGATATTCATTGATCAGCAAAAAAGGAAAAAAAAAAGTCACTAGCATGTTATTAAAAAGCTTTTAGGATTATTAGGGAAAAAATTATAGATCAGGAAATGGAAGTGGAATGTTTTGTACAACCTTCAAGAGTAAATGATTGATGAGATCTGTCTAGTTTTGCCAATTTTAGTGCCATGCTTTTACAGATTATTTGTCTCCAACAGTTTCAAGAATTATACAAATATAGCTCAGTCTGAAAAATCTGTCTCTAAAAATAAATGAAAAAAAAAAAATCAAAGATGTTAAAAAATTCCAAACTGCTTTGAGGCCATTTCTAATTGCTGCTAGGAAGTTTTCCTTTGGAAGATGGTGTGGATGAGGCCCTTGAGGACATGGTTTCATGGGGAATATCGGTTGGACTTGGAGATCTTAGAGGACTTTCTCAGCCTCAGTAATTCCATAATTCCATGTCATCCAAGAGGCTGGCACAGTGACTCTTGGCCATCAGAACCAACCTCACATGCGTCACTGGGAGATGCTTTGCAATGTGATGGGCAAATATCCACGGCACATATTTATAAGGAAAGAAGAAAAAAAATCCCCTCAGTGTCACCAAGAAGTGACAGAAAACAGAATTAAATCCACCAACACTGATTCATGACTAATAACCCCAAGGTATAATAACAGCCATTAAGACTTTTGAAGTACTATCCTCAGAGCTTTAAAAGTATTTGTGAACCTTTGGGAATCTGGGCCTGAGGCTCTGACCCAGCTAAACAGACACACTTAGGAATTTTCATGCTGGCCTGCTCCAATAACTGCATGAAGGAAAATATTTAAAATTATATTTTATATTTAAAATGCAAGGAGTAATTACACATGGGATTTCTTCTCCGTTTTCTACGTGCAGAGGCTACCACACATGGGTAGGATGATAATAAATGTTACTGGAGTGATAAAATCCGTGACCAGCAGCCTGGGAAACATCAGGGTGGCAAGAAAATCAGAGCTCACGTACAACTGTCTGGAAACAAGAGTGCAGCTGTGTCAGGAACGGGGGCTTATCTTGCAGTGCCAGGACTCGTTTCTCCACCATGGTGCACTCCACATCATCATCCTGGATCACCACGTCTTTCTTCAGGATTTTGACTGCATAGAGCTCCTCTGTGCCCTTCCTGTCTGCCAGCATCACCTGCAGGGCAGAGAAACAGCAGAGTGAAAATCCCCCAGTGCTGGAGTCCTGGATGCTGAGAAGTTTAAACTTGCTGTGCTTAAAGGCACAGACCCACAAGAGAACACTGCATTTGACCTGAGGCTGCGGAGAAGGCTTCCAAAATTCATTGATAGTACTGGGATTATGGGTGTGTAGTTGGTTAGAAGTGTGTAATATCAGAGGGTGGAAAACTTAAGAGTTTGGGATTTTAGAATATAGAAATAAATATGAAGCAAGATGAAGGTTTTAGGGTGGAGGCAGGTTGCTCTTCTTTACCTTCTTCTTCCTTCTTCTTCATGGGTTTGGGTGATGTTTTGTAATTGGATAGAAAAGTCTGCATTGGGGGTTCTTTGGGATCAGTTATTGGGTTAAAAGGGAAGATAATCTAGGTGTCCTTTCTTAATTTGATAGTTTAGTCTTAGAAGACCTTGTAACAAGAGATTGTTGGCCATTTTGTGCCTTGCTAAGAAAAGCTGCCAAACTCATGGTTGTAGCACTGTTTTACTGATAAGAAATAATAAACACTTGAGTCTGAACATGAACTACCATCTCAAGTGCCTTCAATGCAGACCCAGAGAAACCAATACCCCAGGCCAGGGAGGGAAGGTCACTCAGATGCCTGAAGATTTAGAGAGATGGACAGCCAGCCTTTCCTTTAATTTGTACGGACAAATTTGATCAGAACTCCAAAGTCACGATCCTGGCACAGTTCAGACAGCCTGTGCCCAAACCCACGGGCTGGCCATGGGCTCGTTGCTGAAGGGCTGCTAAAATGTTAAGTCCCAGGTGACTTCTTCAGCAAAGGGCACTTTATCACCTGAGTTTTGTTCAAACAGGCAGGAAAATAGCAGTCTGCTCTCTCATCTATTGGATTTCTAATACATACACATACTATGCCTGGTTTTTTCCAATATTCACCCTTACCAATGTTGGTGACTTCCAGGACTGGCAGAGTGACCTAGGTATTAAGGGCAGAAAAGCAGACTTAATTTCCTTTAAATTGCCAAGAAGTGAGGATCTGAAAGTCAGCAATGAGTTCCCATCTTGCCCAACAGTCTGAGTTTTAAAAATTTATTTTTATTTTTTCAATATGCCAATCAGAACTAAAGTCTGCTAAGCCTTAGGGGGAATAACCCTACTCCTGTTAAGAAATCAAAAATTCCTTCCTTAAAAATGCACTTTTGACTCTGGATTTTGCTTCTTAGAGAGCTGTTTATTTATTCTTCCTCGAGAAAAAAAAAAAAAAAAGAAGAATGTGAATGGATTAATTCTAAATTCCTACCTTCCCAAAGCTCCCCTTTCCAAGCACCATGAGGAAGTTGAAATCTGTCAGCTTCACCCTGTCCAGATTGTTGGACGGCACACTAGAGCTCTTGTCTTCTGTTGAAGTAATGACTTTGTTACCAGCTGGCCCAAGTTTGGCTTTCTGAAGAACATACACACACATACACACACAAAAACAGCAAAGTGAGAAGAACTGCCCATGTCCTGGCAGAAGGAAGGGATCTCTGGGTGGAAGTTGGAGCTGGAAATGGCCAGGTCTGAGGTGGCATTCCCAGGTGAGAGGCTGCATAACAAAATATGCACAGACACACCTTCACAGACTCATTCCAGCAATACTTTTGACATTATTGAGGGAATTAAAGTGGAAATCTGTGTTCCTGTATGACCAGATAAAGCAGATACGCTTATCTGGTTAAAAGAGCAAAACCAAAGCAACGATCAGAAACAAAATTTAAAAAATCATCATTCACTTTCAGGCCAAAAGCAGCTTAAATGGTGCTTTTGTTCTGAAAGACCAAAAAAAAAAAAAAAAAAAAGAAAAAAGAGGCTATCCAAAAATACCATGTTGTAATGTACATTGGGTATTTTAGGATATAAACAACCTCCTCAAAACATTCTCTTTTCAAATGGAATTCTTCAAATCATTGCATAGCAAGAGCTAAGAGAATTTTGACATGCACTAAGAACCTGCATTAAAAATCCCACAGCACATGAGAATTAATGCAGATGAACATGGCCACTTTCAAACCAGCAGTACAATCAACTTTGATTTTCAATCAAGGGTTGATCTGGAAAAGGGAGGAAGGGGAATTTTACAGACAAGGGCTCTACCAGACACTCTGGTTTACAGGGGGCTGCAAGTCTCAGTATTTCACATGAGACACCATGGCATGGCTCAAGTAAGCTGCATTTCAAATCTCAGAGTTAATGCAAGAGAAAAAAGTAAGACTCACCAAAAGATAATGCAGGCTACAAGATAATATCTTTTTTTTTTTTCCTCAAAATAATCCCATATACCAGCAGAAGCAAAGCCAATAAGGTTTAGTAATTCTTTGGGATATAAGTGCTGTCCCCATCTGTCTGGTGTGTTGGTCTGGTTAATATTCTCTAATATGGTTAATTTACTTTTTGCCAGTGATGTATGTTTGACAATTCAGGGTAACTACTCTTCTCTCTGTTTTCACAAAAGGGCAATATTTGTGTATTATCCCTCTTTCACAGATAAAGAAAATTACAGAAATGGAGGTTTATTCAAAGTCACACAATACCTCCCTTTAAAAGTCATGCCTGGCTTACACCTTTGGCACTGGAAACTGGGAGTTACAAATTTTCCCCTACCCAGAGGGGTGTAAAACCTTAAAATTGAGGCACTTAACTCACAGACTCCATCTACTCCTGCAGTAATGTCAGATAATCATCTGACAAAATAACCTCCTGTCACTTGAAAACCATATCCAGCTTGGATGACTCTTCCTGCAACTTTGTAAGTGCAGAAAAATCTTATGCCCTGCCACAGGGATATGAATTTTGCAAGTTTAGATCTCTTTATTAAAAAACTTGCAACACAGCTTAGAATGGGGAGTTTCCTCCCCAGCAATGTTATTATTTGTTTGCATGAAAGCAGCACTGGAGATGCTGATCAGGTGCTGTGCAAACATTTAGGGAGAGCCAGTCCTGGATGTCAGCTTAAATCCCAAGGGATGTTCCCAGGGCAGGGCTGGCTGCTGGGACAAATCTGTGCTGGAGCTCTCTGGCAGCACAAAGCTCTTCTTGAGGCCACACAAGATTGAGCCATGAGCAAAACAAGGGGGAAAAAAACCCCCAAAATCCCAATATCCGTTATTTGTACAAGATAAAGATGTGGCTCAAGGGAGCAGCTTTGCTGGCCATGCCTTTGTGATGTTCCACAAATGGGATCTCAGATAAAGATCTTGCTTTTCTCATGCACAAAGCAATTTCAATATCCTCCTTTTCTCTGAGTAATGGAGATCCAAATCAGGCCCTGAATGGGCAGCACCAGCTTTATTTCTTATACCTTTAAACCCACTGGGCAGGGCGCTGGCAGTTTGTTTGAAAAATGCATAATTTGAAACAAAAATAAAGTCTTGTTCGGAGGTAATTTTTTTTTTTTGGGGGGGTGCAAGCCTGCCAAGCAGGCAGGGAGTGCTCTCTGCACACTGCAATCCCAGGCTCTGGGGTTTTTCCATAAAAAAGCATGGTAGGCTCACCAGCAGGCTCCTGTGCCCGCTGCTGGCTCCAGAGCTGGAGGCACTGCACTCACTCGGAGTCAACATGGGCTAGAACTGTCAGGATCTGAAGGCAGGATCTTAAAATAATACTTGAGAACCCAGCCAAGGCCTCCCTGCATCCTCTGAGCACTTAGATTCAATGAGCAACAGACATTCTCCTCTCAGTCCCATTTTTCAGCTTTTTTAAAGTTAGACATCACTCTGAGTCTGAGAATCTCTTTCTGCAGATGGCAGATTTTTGAGGAGGACAAAAATTCCTCCTGTGTTCCTCAGGGGCTCCTCCTGTGTGCTCAGGTGGGCTCTGAGCTGTCTGACCCAGGGCAGGAGTTTCTGGATGAGTGACCTGGGATGGTGACAATCCTGGGCATCCCCTGGCTGAGCTGCCATGGAGGGTGAAGAGAGAACCCTGCTGGAAAAACCAGGGACAGGGCAGCCAGGGAATGCTGGGGAACAACCAGACTGACTCAAAGGAAGCACATAGCCCCAAAGTGGCAGGAACTCGTGGAATTATCATAACCTTATCAAAAACCCATCACCTTGGCCAGCCACCATCCTCTCAGAAGCATGCAAAACCCCCTTTTTCACATTTGGCATGTGAATTCCTGTTACTGCTTTTTGGCTTAAGGTCCTAGTGGAAATAGAGTGAGGATTTCAAGACATTTCACTGAGCTCCATCATGAGTTTTATATCTGAAACACCTTGGCTGCAGCAGACAGAAAATGCCATGCAGCCAATATCCTCTTCCCGACTGCCAGAGCAAAACCAATTTTGCAGCTACAGAAGGGACATAAACTCAAATTATTCCTAAAAGCTTATTGGAAAAGACTGATATTTTGCCTTTGCTACCATGACTAAAATTGAAAATCGCAGAATCCTATTTAAACCCTCCTTTATTTTTTTATGGATATTAAAACTTGCTGAAGTTGAAGACAGTATTCCAGGCCCTGGATTAATTTTCAATCCACATTCCAACTCCTTGGCTTGTTATCTCAGATAAAACCACAGTATTGTTACAACCAAACCAGCCTGCAGCAAACCAGCCAGGAAAATAGAATGTTAAAGATAAATTAGTCTGCACTGGGAGCAGGAAAGTTAATCTAAAAAGAAAACAAGACATGCACATCATCTTACTTCCTCTGCTTTGGACGCACCTTATCTCGGCCAGTTCTTTTACCCTGAAACCACAGGTGAGACACATCTTATATATTCAGCCCAAACTCACTTCTCCATTGAGTGCTAAGAAATTACATTGTGCTACACTGCAGAGACTCTGGGAATTTGGTAGGAGATTTTTGGAAAAGATATCTCAGGTCTCACAGTAAAAACGCTTTGGATTTCTTTTTAATCTAACAATTGTACTTTTAATTAAATAGGAAAAAATTATCCAAAATCGAATGAGAAGTGTGATGCAAAGAAGAAACAGAAGTGATTTAGGGAATAGTAATTCTTCCATTTTTATGGCAATTGCAGTAATTCTTGATGATTCTTTTCAAAACTTTCTGATTTTCCCCCTGTGAAGAAAACTGAATAGGACAAAGCAATAAATCTGAATGTTGGTTCTTCTGCCTTCTCTGTGTATCTGTAGTAGAGAATCTTAGGAATTACAGAGCTAAAAGACTGAATTGGTCATTTTCCCCATTAACCAATAATAAATAAAAGTTGCGAGGATAAAAAATAAAAAAAAAATATACAAAATTCCCTTTCATACTCCCCATCTCTTTAGGGCAACAAGTCTCCATCCAAGATGTCAGTGCTTTAACACCTTGCACTGCTCTCCTCTGCTGCTGGGTGAGACTGGCTTTGCTCCCGCATGTGAACGAACACCAGGATCCAAACTCAGAGCCATCCCCTCCTACCCCCAGGCACAGCTTCAGGAGGGACAAACCCACCCCTCTGCCATGGTCAGACATCCAAGGCACACAGCGCTTGTGTGCAGCTCACTAGAGGAGGTGCTCCTCGGTTGTCAGGGAAACTCACTCCCAGCCAGTTCCCAGATGCCAGCAGGATCAGCCCTGGCACCACATTTTCGAGAGGAAAAATGATAAATGAAAAAACATTTACCAACAATGCTGAATTCCCACCACATGAGCAGAGTGCTGTGTGGAGAGCCGCAGTCCATCCTTTATTTATTGGCCCCACCAGCACCTGGTTTACCTGGGAGGTAAATGCAGAGCTCTGCTGCCAGCAGCTGAGTGCTCTGGATTCCACAAGGATGCCAGCATTGCCTCCTCATCTTTCCAGCTTCCACCCACCAGCCCTGCTCTGCCTGAGTGCACGATGGAACAAGACCCTGCCCAAACCCCACAGCTCTGACTGCACAGGGCTCAGCAGGCCAAGGAGCGACTGCACAGAGTCACAGAATCACTGAACAGTCTGGAATGGACCTAAAAGATCATCTCATCTCACCCCCATGGCAGGGACACCTTCCACCAGAGCAGGCTGCTCCAAGGCCCAGTGTCCAACCTGGCCTTGGGCACATCCAGGGATCCACAGCTGCTCTGGACAACCCAAAAATTGAGATTTGTGGAGCAGGAATGTCTCCTTGCCATGACTTAATCCCTCTAAGAATTCTAACAGAATCCCTGCTCCTCACATGGCCAGAAGTTCTCAGCAGTTCTCTGCCAGAGCCCCAGGTGCTCCTCAGGTGTCCCTGGGTGAAGGAATCAGTCACCTCACACTGCCACACCTGGAGCCAAGGTTTCTGCTCCTGATTCTTGAATCAGCCCAAAGCCATTGCAGGTAACACTCCATATCACTCAGAAAAATGGCAAATGGATGGTGAGCAGTGAGGATGGAACAGCCTGGACAGTAAAATTCCAGCTTCACTGCTCCAGCCCAGGGGGCTGCAGGTGTGAAATGAATGCTCAGTTCTGCCTGTGGCTACCAGGACCCT